AGAGCAGCTATGGGCCTGCTCAATCTAGTGGCTCCCAGTGTCACGGTGAGGGAGTTGATTTCAACTTGGCAAGAGGGCAGGGAGCCAAGTTCAAGCTGGCAAGAGGCACATAGAATATTGCAGACTGAACAAACTGGGCTCCAGTCTCACAGCCAGAAACCAGCCTGAACTTCAATGGAACTAAAGGTCTATGCTTGCTGGAATTATCCACTAACCCACCGTAAATCTACAGCTGGCTTGCTGGGATTAATCAACATGGATCTGGGCTCTGTCTGCCCACTCTGTGTACCAGTGACAGCAGAAGCACTCCCTGAAAAGGACATTCTTTTTTTTTTCTTTTTCATTTTTCTATTCTTTTTTTTTTTTTTTGGTTTTTTCTTTTCTTCTTTATTCTTGTCTTTATTTGACTATGAACACTTTTTGTTTTTGTTGCTGCTCTGTTCTGTTTGTTTTTATATCTTCCTTCTCTCTTTCCCTCCTGTCTTCTTCACCAGTGTCCCAAAGTTCATGTAATCTTCCTTTGTCCTCAAGCCTTGCTTCTAATCTCTTCCTCTTCTATTTCTCTAGTTTTTCTCCCTAACACCTTTTACATTTTCTCCCATGAAGGTGAAATTGCCATATTGAGGACATACTTACTGTATACAATTTTCTGGTTTGTTTGAGATTTTGCTATATAACCACAAATATAATTCACACAGTTGAAGGTGGCAAATCAATAGTGACCACTAGCTGTGTTTGCTATTATTATTGCTGATTGTACTACTTTAGCCAAGGTGACACAATTCTTCTAATCAGTTGTTCTTCCTGGTATCCAAATACTGAGATTGCCTAAGGATCATGAACAATACTATAGGCCAGTGCCAAAGAACCAGGGGCTAGGCCAAATAGGCAGCAATTTCTCATTGCCAATAAATTGAAGAGGTAGGATCTTGCAATAGGCTCAAAACCCAAAATCCAGCTACACCTAGAAGAAATCTCTAAGAAGCAGTCATTTTCTAAGGGTTCTAAATACTAGCAATAAAGCTACTTGACATAAGCAATTTACAAGCATCAACTCAGGGATTAAACTAAAAAAAAAAAAAAAACATGAGAAGACACTTAAGCAAGATGCAACCCCAGACTTCCAGCTCACCAAAGGCGAACCCAGAGGCCAATGAGGTGGAATAATTCAAAACCCACCCACCTGGACTCTAAATGGTAATAGCAGAAGTAAAGCAGATGAATGAGGTTCTAGAAAAAAAATCAAATCAGAAATAATTTCTCAGATAACTACAAAGATGGTGACCATAATGAAAGACATGGTTAGTAAATCTAGAGCAGATATAGATTTAAAAAAAAATAGTAGAGGAGCTTAGGGAAATGATGGAAACCATGAACGCTCAACATAGGAAAGAAATCCAATCCATGAAACAGATTCAAACAGATATCCAGGAGATTTAAAATTCCATTGAAAGTATACGCAGCAGAATGAGCAAATGTGAGGACAGAATATCAGATACAGAAGACAGGATTGCAGTTAGCAAAATGGAAATGTTCTTGAGTAGGAAGAACTAATATAGTGAAAATGGTCACACTTTCAAAACTGTTATACCAATTTAATGCAGTCTCAATCAAAATTCCAATAACATATCTCACAGAATTAGAAAACACAATCCTAAAATTCATTTGGAACCAGAAGAGACCTAGACTAGAAAAGGCAATTCTGAGTAACAAAGGCAAGGCAGGGAGCATCACAATTCCTGACTTGAAATTATACTACAAAGCTACCGTGATAAAAACAGAATGGTACTGGCAGAAAAACAGACCTGAAGATAAAGGGAACAGGTTGGAAGATGCAGAAACAACTCCAGACATACTCAGCTACCTTAACTTTGACAAAGGAGCCAAACACCTTCACTGGAAGAAAGATAGCCTCTTTAATAAATGGTGCTGGAAAAACTGGCCTTCCCCTTGCCGAAGATTAAAACTAGACCCATATCTTTCACCATGCACTAAACTAAAATCGAAATGGATCAAATATCTAAATATTAAAACAGAAACAATCTGCTGGAAGATAGGTTAAGTAAAACTCTTGAAGACAGCAAAGACTTTATGAGCAAAACCACAGTCGCACAGGAACAATCACAAAGAATCAACAACTGGGATCTCATTTTATTAAAAAACTTTTTCACAGCAAGAAAAACCACCAACAGCATGAAAATATAACCCAAAGTGTGGATAAAAATTTTTGCCAACTGTTCTTCAGACAAAGGACTAATATCTAGAATATATAAAGAACTCAAAAAAAATCAGACCCCCCCCCTAATTTAAAGACCTAATCCAAAAATGGGCACCTGAAATAAATAGACCCTTCTCAGATGAAGATGCACAAATGGCAAATAAATTTATGAAAAAGTGTTTAACATCACTAGTCATTCGAGAGGTGCAAATTAAAACAACATTGAGATTCTAGCACACTCCAGAAAGAATGGCAATTATCAAGAAATCAACCAGTAAAAATGCTGACAGGGCTGTGGGGGAACCCTTCTACACTGTTGGTGGGAGTGTATACTGGGGTGCACCCTCTGTGGAAATAAGTGTGGAGATTCCTCAAAGAACTAAAACTTGAGGTTCCATTTGACCCAGCTATTCCCCTTCTGGGTATTTTTCCCAGAAGAATTAAAAGCATCATACCACAGCGATATATGCACATCCATGTTTATACCAGCACAGTTTGTAATAGCTAAATCTTGGAAACAGCCCAAATGCCCACTGACTGATGAATGGATAAAGATGATGTGGTTTTTTTATATAATGGAGTACTACTCTGCCATTAAGCAGGATAAGCTTGAGACATTTCTATGTAAATGGATGGACTTTGAGACCATACTCTTAAGTGAAATAAATTGGACACACGTGTTTAAATACTGCATTATCTCTCTAGTGTGAGAAACCAAAAATGGAAATAAGGACGAAAATGTATAACAGATATTGGGAAATGGGAAAAAATGTTCAAGTGGAGAGGGGAACAAGGAGTGAGGGGAGTGACAAGAAAAAAAAAGAGAACAATGGAAAACATGGAAACAAATCCTTTGTAAATAAGGAGGGGAAGAAGGGTTGAAGGGAGGGGAAAGGAATGGGGAAAAAAAGAAGAAGCAAGATGTATCATGTACAAGTACAAATTGCCTATGATGAATGTTAACACTATGTATATCTAAAATGTACCAATAACATAAAATTTAAAAAACAAATAAATAAAAGTAAGAAACAGGCTGGGATATAGCTTAGGGGTAGAGCACTTGCATCCCATGTTCAAGGCCCTGGGTTCATCCCTAGCACTGAAAAACTAACCAAAAATCTATGAGAAGCTTAGAGGTGGGTTTGGGGGCTGAACCAGGAGCCTCTGAGGGGCACCCAGGCTGGGGCCTGCTGTGGAGGCAACATGGGGTAGGGTGTCCCGCAGTGAGACTCCTGGAAGGATGGGAAACTACACAGGGAAATCACTGCTGCCATTGCAGTAAATGGCAGCTGTCAGGCTGAAGACATGTGTGAGGTTCATGTGACAGGGCCGGGAAGCAAACACAAAAACCAAGTCTCTTCTTCTGGTCTCCCAGCCTCCCTCTAATGTCACCCCTTGCCAGACACAGAAAACCACCGCACAGAAGAGACTGGAATTACAGGAAGAGGTATCGCAATATAAGTTTAAATCTAAGACACAACAGACTCATTAGTCAGTAAAAAATAGTAATAATGACAAAGCAATGACCAGTTACTGGATCCTTAGTATTAGCCACTGCTAAATACTCACATACATTACCTATTGAATCCACACATTAGTAGACCCATTTTAAAGACAGGAAAACACAGGCTCAGAAAGGATCATTCCCTTGATGAGGATTAAACACACAATAAGTAACAAAAGTAGAATTCGATTCTAGGTCCAATGATTCTAAAACCTATAGGCCTAACCAATTAAAACCAAGCTAAAGGGGTATCCAAAGGATTGAGTGGTAAGTAAATCATAATAAATCCATACATACTACCATTAAAAAACAGAGGACTTTATTCATATAGGAAAGTATTCTGCAAAAAGAGAAATGTTAAAAAAAGACAATTTTTTAAAAAGTAAATATAACATTTTTAATTAATGTGCACACATATAAGCCACACTAAAGTCTGCTAAGACATCATCCAAAATACTACTCATAACCATTTTTGTCGCTGTTTTTTGATTGTTGCTATTATCATTTTTTCCATTTAATATTTCCTATATTACATATATAACTGAAGCCTATCAAATATATTTTTCCATTTAACTGGTCTAAAACATGGCAGAAACATAACAACTGTGAATTAGTAACATAGTCAGAGCACCATGCCAAAATGTCCATACTGAGACAAGGTAACTCAAACCACAACTCATAATTCACATTATGAGAAAAATGTTAGAGAAACATACCAAGTAGAGACTTTTTTCACCTTTTTTTTTGGTACCAGGGATCGAACTCGGGTTCTTGCGCTTGCGAGGCAGGCGGCAGAACCACTGAGCTAACCGCCCTGGCCCTGTAGAGACTTTTTTCAAAACAAAGAATTCAGAAGTGTGTGAGAATAACTCAATTTTTTTTCTTTTCTTATAAGACAGGGTCTCACTATGTAGCTCAGACTGGGCTCAAACTCTCCTGCTTCAGCCTTCTAAGGGCTGGAATTACAGACATGTGCCATCAAGCCCAGCCAGTAATAACTGAGTATCTTTTACTAGGTTTCTAAGTGTTTTTCATTTGTTTGGCTGGAGGTGGAGTTGCTGTTTTGTGGAAGGGAAGAGTGATGTCTTCTGGATGAACAAAACCATTCCAAGAACAAGGAAACACAACTTCAAGTGTTTACTGAATAATGTGAATTACTGTAACCAGTAAAGAGGCTTTGGACCTCATAGTGTAGTAGGTCAGGCTTCAGCACACATTCACATGCATAATTAGCTAATCATCACTTTCTTCAATTACACTTTTGAAATAATCACTTACCAAACACTATTCCTTTAGCAAAGGGAGGAAACAGTTCTGAATGACGGAATAAGTGTTTGTGAATTTGCCATAGCTCTTTGTGCAGTTTCTTAAAATCACTGAACCTCTTCCATACGATTATCTAAAAAGAGAAAAAGATTAACAGTGTGCTTCAGAGCAGAATTTAGGTTTTGATATCTCAACAAGAAGTAATCTTTTCATTAAAGTGTTCAAAATTGTCAAGCACAACAAACATGTTCTAACAATTTCTAACTAATGTTTGAAATTCACTAATATTTGCTTTAAAACTATAAAGCACCAAGTCTTCCTCATGCTATTTTGTTTTGGTTCTTTAATTTCATTTTAAACAAATACATTTTTATTCTTACTGGAAAAATATTTAACCTGTTACAAAGAACTTCTATACCACATAAAATGTCTCTTAGTCTCCTGAAAACCAATTAGCCATTGTCCTGGGAAATTAGTTAAATGTCCAACATGTATTCTTTCTCAAAAAAAACATGTTTATAAAAACGAAGTAACTAATTTATGCAATTTTTAACACAAAGGACATATTCAACATTTACCTAAAAAAAATAAATTGAGTAATACTGAAGAAGAAATGGCTGTGTAGCAAGTCATTAACAGGAATTTTCCTATTTCATAACTTTTTCTTAAATCTTAATCTAGAAACAAGATATCTGGGGACAGGGTGAATGCTGATCAGAATACCATTAAAATGAACATATATTGCAAAAAAACAAAACAATAATCATCCATATTAGATAACATGTGAGTTTGCCTTCGTTAGTCTGAATTATTCTTACTCAGATTCAATTAGACAAAAGAAAACTGTGTAAAAAGAAAGGATTCAACACATAGCTTTGATATCACTGGGTCAGCCCTTCAGTCCCCACGAAACAGGATAAAACTGAGTTTTAAACTGTCACTTTGTATATTGGAGCCTTTTCTTGTGAAAACCCTAAATCACTTCCTTTCTGATGAATTCTCAGTGTTTTTATATACAACACAGTGTAATGCTAATGACCAAATATGGTCGGGCAGGCAAGTGATTTAAGAGATTCTTGCCAAAAAACCTGCTGTGTTATATGAAATTATCCAATTTTGTATACTGTTAGTCTGCCTTAGTCCTTCTTGTTTTTTATTTAATTATAATCCTAGGAGACTAGGCAGATTTAAACAAACTGCTTCTCCTGATGCTGCTCTCTTCCTCGTTTACTAAACAACGAAAACACTCACCAAAGCAAATACTTTCACAGCCCTGCTCTGTGCTGGGCATCATTCTGTCACAGAGGGTGAAAATGACAAGCACGAGGCCTCCAGTGTTCCGGTCTAGTTGGGAAGAGTAAGCCAGCACAGCACACCCAGCATAGATGGCATGGTCAACACCAAGCAGGCTGGCACAGTGCTGGGACAGGGGACACCTGAGAAGGCTCTATCCAAAGGGAATTGGTCAGCAGAGCAAGAAAATAAAGGAGGTGAGGGGCACATGGGATGAAGTTTTTAAAAAGAAAGATGCCACAGAGGTATTGCTAGAATCTTGGCTCTTACAACTGGGTGGGGCCATCCCCTGAGGCGGAAGCAAGGAAGAAGTGGCGTGAGGAAGAAAGAAATCCTGCTTTGGATGGCTGGTTTAGGGACCGTCAGGCTTCTCACTGGGTGTGGGCTTGAAGAGCCAAACCTGCTCCTTGGGAGCCAGGGGTGGTCAGGAGGTAATATAATAAATGAGGAAAGGTTTCTTAGCCTTCCTAAGGAGAGAGGAGTGAACATGGAATAGACGGAAATGCTGACACCTGAGCCACTGAGAAGAAAAAGAGACTTTACTTGAAAATGGAAGTGAGCGAGACAGCAAAGAACCAAGACTTGCGCTAAACAGAAGGAAAGGAACTGACTGACGGAGTCCAGCCAACACTTGAGAACTGAAAGGCCTCAGGACAGTGAGATTTTAGCCATCAATTTTTTGCTTCTCTGTAGTTTCTAATCTTGATACATGAACATAATTCTGTCATGAGGAAAAAGGTGTTATTTTAAAATATATCAATTTGCATTAGCATTGCACTGCTAAGGGATGGGAGGAACTAAGCAATAGGATTATGAAAGCTACCTTACATGAGGAAAATGGCAATATGAACTGGGGATCACATGAGGTGAAAGCCACTGCCACATGAACAGGAGAGCTATTCCCACGATTGCAGATTATGGAAACAAGTTTGCAGGTAAAACTTTTATTCTAGACAAGATCATTTTCAGATAGAGAACAACTTAAAAGGCAAAATTTAATAATTCAATCACAGCGGTGACTAAAATGCCAGGATATAATTTGTCAGTGCAAGAATCAGAACTGCTGACACAAGGAGCTGTTTCTTCACCACACCACTGCGTAAATTCCCTCACACGTTCTTTATCCTAACACTAGGGCTAATGAACCAAAATACCTACGAGCACTGTCAAATATCGCATCCACTGCCTCCTTTTGTCAAATTCATACTCCTTTTTAAACTGAAGTTTCCAGAAACCTTCAAACTGGACAACTGAATAAAAGCACACTGCTAGTACATCAGCAAGTACTGATGTTTATATATGGGCCACATAAAGTTCCAAAGACATATGCAAAAATTGTTTAATACATTTTTGACATTTTCCTATCGGAAAAAAATAACTTTATAATATCTATTACTTTAAACCAAACCTCCAAAAATTTTTTATTCATTAAAGTCATTCTGAAAAAAATTTATCAATGAAATGTTATTCAATGACAACCATATACAGACTGCAAACTTAATGAGCCTCGCTTTTTCATTAGAATATTCCCTTAAATGGTTACATGCAATAAATACCTCCTTTTCAATTATAAAGAATTACATCAAAATTTTTAGATCCCTATATTTTATGAAATCACCCACTTCAATTAACTTGGGCCTTTTCACTCTTATATAGTTTTTTTTGGTATCGGGGATTGAACTCAGGACCTTGTGCTTGCCAGGCAGGCATAGCGCCACTGAGCTACATCCCCGGCCCTCTTATATAGTATTTTAAACTTGCTGGATCATCTTTCCTTACAAATGTCACTACCGTGCCATTAGCTTTTTCTTTTTTTTTTTTTTTTCCAGTACTGGGGATCAAACTCAGGACCTTGTGCTTGCAAAGCAGGCACAGTGCCAGTGAGCTAAATCCCCAGCCCACCATTACCTTTTTATTTTTTCTCCTCTTTTCAAGAGGCTTTTCATTCCCTTATAAGATTTCTCTAAGAAAACTATTTTATGAAACTATCTTATGAAAAGACACAAAATTTAGAAATTTCTGCTATGATAAATAGAAAGGTCAACTTCAGTTCTTTTCCATTCCCAATTTACCAGTGAGATATGCTGCCTATACAGAAAGAACTACAAAGGGCTGGGGATTAGCTCAGTGGTTCCACCTCCTGCCTCACAGAAAGAGCTACAGGCCACTCTTAGGACAGTTGGGGAAAAATGGAACACAGTCTTCCCTTGCTGTTCGCAAGCGGCTTGTGTTCTAGGCCAGAGGTGGTGAAGCTTTTAGAGACGAGAGCCCAGACTGCAACCCAAAACCCACATATTTATCCCAAAGTGGCAACACTGCAATTAAACCTGAACACTGAGGACTCAGTCTAGAAAAAACAACTCATACATTAACATCTTTTGTCTTAAAAACAAATACCATAAGTGCCATAGGTTCCCCACCACTGTTCTAGACCATCTACAAATGAAGAGGCCAAAAATCAACAGCTGATGTACCACTGCACATTCACTCATATTTTTTAAATAAAAATTTAGAGGAAATTATAAAAACTTTTTAAGAAGTCAGTTATCCTAGCAACTTTAAAGTATTTACTCCATGTTAATATTTTTTAACATTCTTAGGAAGAAAATGCTGATATCTGATAGTGCCAAATGTATATAAAACAAAAAGAGCAAAACTTGTCCAGCTCTATAAGGATATCATTGGCCCTATATTTGGTTACAATAACAGTACATCTACTAGTCCTCAATAGTTCTTATGAAGCCCAACTATATTCTAAAGCTATAACTAAATTAATTAGGTAATGGAAAAAGTGAAAGGAAAGAAAATGGAAATAAAGTCAAAGTCAATTCCTTTCCTAAGTGAAAATTCCCACGTTTAAATGAGATAAGTGAGAAATAAAAAGTACTGATCAAGGTCACTTCAAGGTTTTTCCATACTTTAAGAAGCTGACTGGATAGGAGACTTTTTAAAGAATTTATATTATTTCTAACAAAGGACCATGCAATTGTCTAACTAAAGGACACTTACAAGAGTTTTCTGATGAATGGTTCACCAACAGTTGTTATTATAAAAGAGTTTTCCCCCAAAAAAAGATTAAGGAAATGGCAGAGAGTATGTTCATGGGTAGGTTGATTCAGGATTCTCCCTGGAAAAGTGGAACATCAAGCTACAAACTACAGCACAGCAATCAGACGACGCATGCAAAGGAAACGACCCATTTTCAATTGTAACAGAACTGTAAATTCTCAAAAGTAGAACAGCCTGGTATTGACTAATTCAACAAAATTAGTAGAAATCTAAAGAATAGTTCATAATAATCAATTGATACTTAAGTAAAGATTACTTTCATTAAACAATGGTACAAATAACACTCACAGGCATATAGAACCTTTCTTCCAAATTAATAATATTCTCCCTATTGTGGGGGAAAGGACGATATCTTAAAACCCGTGAGGAAAGTAGCGTGAAATCTTTTTTAAATGTCTTTTATTAATCACAGGACAAATACAAATGTCATATCAGACACAATACCTTAAGGAATTGGAAGGTAAAACATTTAAATATTTTCTAAACCCAAGGGTCACACATTCAAATCAACCACGACCAAATAATCAACTCAAATGCATGAATCAAGCCAGGTATGGTCAAGAAGGACATGGGGCCTATGGCTAAATAAAAAGCTCATACCTCACCCAGACATGCAAATTCAACTGGGGAAGAACAACCAGGTGGCAGAATCAGGACTGCAAATTAACTGCATGTTTTAAACTCTTCAGCAAGAACAATCCCACCCCCCACCCCGCCCCACCGCCAATATATGTCTTCTGGTCTTAGGGTCAATGAGCAGGGGTCAAAATGAAAGTAAATCAAGAAACATTAAAAGAAGAATTCCTAAAAAAATTGACAAGCACAAAGTAATTACAAATAGAGAATTCCACACTTGTAAGTAAAAATGTAATAGACTGACATCACTGTGGAGAGATGGAAAGAAAGAAAAAGGAAAAAAATGCAAAGAAGAGTCTACAAAAGAATTACCTTACAAAGTTAAAAAGAAACATCTACATCTAAAGCAGGTTTTCAAGATGTCAATATGTCAATTCAACATAAAACTAGTGGAGGAGACCCATAATTTGTCACTATAATCTTTAAAATTAATACTAGTTACCAAATACTTATGTTTTACTATACAAATATCATGAACTTGAAATGAATAGAGGCCCTTAATTAACAAAGAAATCTTAAGTGTATTAGTTACCAGAACAATTATCACTAATAGCACTATAATTCCTCAAATTCTTATTTATATAAATTAACACCTACTAAAACACCTATAGTAGGTCTGAAACAGGACATTTAACTACTATTTTAGGAAGCTGAAGGCAATCTTAATACAAATTCAAAGACTGGCATACAAATAATTCAGGCAGTTTCCTCAATAAAGTATTTAATTAAATTTTTGTCAAAAATAGAAAATGAAATTTTCATATGGATAAACACGTTACCTCCTGGACATCCTCTGGGTTTTTCCGTGAAACAACCTAAAACAAAACATACATAGAAATATATAATCATTATCAAAATTTAAGATTTCACATTTGTATAATTACTTCCAACAGTATTGGCATAAAATTTTAATTTGCTTAAAAAATACTTATCACGGGCCGGGGATTTAGCTCAGTGGTTTCGCTGCCTGCTGTGCAAGTGCAAGGACCCAAGTACGATCCCCGGTTCCCAAAAAAAAAAAAAAAATACTTATCACTAAAAATTCAGCCACATAATTTCACTACCTGAAATACTAAAATTTAAAGAAAAAATCAGCTAAAATTCAGCACACGTATTATATTCATAAAATTCTTTCTTAATGTAATTCTACCAAGCTTTCCTACCATCCTTCCAAGCTTACACACGGATCAGAAGCATAAAGAACAGCTGCACTTGAGCAAAGTGTATAACAGATCTCAATATATTATTTCTTTTTTTTTTTTTTTTTTT